TCATATCGATGCAAAGCTCCTCTTTTTTCGCTCTCAACTTTGACATTCGAGCACTTCTTCCGCACCATTTACGCTGCTCGTATATATCTTTCATCAGCTCGAACCTCCTTGTTTACCTCTTTTCACGCTCTTTTCTTTGCCTGACTCCTCACAGACGAACCACACAAACTTCCATTAGTAATCCGCTCCTGATTTTGTTAGCGTAGCATCACCGAGTAGTAAATAGGCCTACATGAGACCCATCTTGCATTGGTTAGAAAAATATTTTCTCTTGTAATTTAAAAAAAATTAAAATCTATAAAATACTTATACAAAGTGTGTTAAAATACTGAATATGTTTTAACTCAACATAAAAATACAGTACCGGTACGTAAAATTATACGTAAATTAAAATTTGTCACAATCATTTTAAGCAGTTTAAAGAAAATTAAATTGAAGTACAGTACCATAATATGATTGATTCATTAACTAATTTGCATTACATTTCATTGTCATAACACTTGCCTAAACATTGTTTTAAAATTTATACAACTTCCCTTGTTTGTACTGTTACCTTCCATTGTACTGAAAACAGTGTTTTTACTAATAATAATGCAGGCCCGTAGGCATGATTTTCGTAGGGGAGCTAGGTGCATGGACCCCGCGGGGTGGGCCGAACCACCGGAAGCCCCGACAAAAATTAGCCTTTTGAGCGCCTTATAAATGGATTTTTATTCATTTGGGTGTTGTAGCAACTTTTTATGTCCAATCACTGGAGCTGATAACTTCCAACAAATTTCGTACCACTGTTATTAAATATCAACGTTTTGAAGAGCTGGCAAATAATATACAATGTATGCTATAGCTAGTTTTACTGAAAAAAATAGACTAGAAATTTGGAGGTAGAGTGGGTTTGGGGATGAAGCCCCTGACGCTCCGACAAAGTTGCATTTTCTCAGCCTTATATTAGGATTTCTGAAACCCACAATTTGTGAATACTCTATTTAAATTATCATTCATTTTGGTGTTGTAGGGCCCTGAAGAAATAACGTTTTTATGTCCTTTACATATGTGTAAGCCTACAGATAAAATTTTTCATAATAGATCAATCTGCAATCACTGTAGCTGATAATTTCCAACAAATTTCATACCACAGTTATTAAAAATCAATGGTTAGAAGAGCTTGCAAAAGCGCATTTCACGATAATTAGGAACGATTTTAGGAAATAATAGGTCCAGGGGCAGGGAGCGGGAGTTTAGGGGAAAACCATCGGAAGCTTCAACAAAGTAGCATGTTGAGGGCCTTAACTACTGTATAATTGATTTCTCAAACCCATTTGTGAATATTCTATTTAAATG